ATCATGTCCTTGAAATGAGAAGTCAGATTGTTCCCTCCATCTCAGCAACTCAACCTTGGTGGGATCAGGAGGGCCAGTCCTCAGGGCAGACCTGGAGAAGGAATCGTTCTTGAGCACAGTGGGCCCAGGCCCTCCTCTGTGGGAAGCACAGGGTTTAGAACCTTTAGCTTTCTTCTGGAGGTTCACCTCACCTGACAGGCACTTCCTTCCAGAACAGATGTCCCACTGCTTGCAGATGGCTGAGCCCCAGGAGACAGTGCTAGCACTTCCTCCGAGAGAAGGTAGGCGTCTCTCACCTGCACAGGTAAATCCCCACTGAGGTTTGGGGGCAAGAGGAAATGGAGAGCCCGTGGCAGAAGGATTTCCCTTGCATCCTTCCCGCAGCAACCCCAAGTTGTTCTCTCACCCATTTGCTCCTCTCCTTACCCAGTGTGGCTTGACGTCTGGGACGGTGGCAGGTGGGCAGGGGGACCACAGTATTCTGTCCTGTTTGTAGGGGTGCAGGCAGCCGCCACCGTGCCCATCCCCCTGTCCGGCCTGGAGGATGGCTTGTCAGACCATCCCCTGAACCGGGGGCCCCGCTGCCCTGCCCGGCGGCCCTGCAGCCCTGCCTCGGCTCCAGCTCCTACATCGCCGAAGAAGCCCAAGATGCAGGCGCCCGGGGACACGTTTCCCACCGACTGGAGCCCCCCGCCCGTAGAGTTCCTCAACCCAAGGGTGCTGCAGGCCAGTCAGGAGGCCCCGGCCCAGAGGTGGGTGGGTGTGTCGGGCCCCCAGGGCCTGAGGAGACTGGCCGGTGAGCTGCCCAAGGAGTCGGAGCAGGAACACCTGGACTTGGACCCAAAGAGGGGCCTGGCCTTGCCAGAGAAGCTGTTCTGGAACACGGCAGGCCCGAGCCAGCAAGCTGCAGTCCCAGAGGTGAGCCTGTGTCCACCCTTGGCCTCTCCTCCTTGGCTACCCATCTTTAGCCACCCCTTTACAGTGACCCCAGGCCACCCCCTCCTCAGCCACGCCCCAGCTGCCCTTCCTCAGCCACTTCCCCTTGACCATCCCCCCTCAGCCCTTGGGCCTTCATGGCTGGAAGCGCAGGCCCCCAAGGCCAGGATGCACCTCGCCCTGTGTCTCCACCCGTAACTCCTGCTGACAGATGGCTTCGGGTGGCACCAAATTTGATGCCATTTCATGGGTCCCCTTGAGGCTTTCATGGCTGAGGTTAGGGTGATGGCCCCGGAGCAAGGAGGGCTCTCAGAGCTGAGCTCTGGGCTTGGTTGTCCGCAGAGACTCAAGCCGACTCTGGTCCAGTGGATGGGGAGTCCTAAATGAAACTTCGGTGATGAACTTCAAATTGGGAGTAAGCTCCTGCTGCTCTGTAGACCGCGGGGCGTTTACAGGCCGTGGATGGAGAACACTTATTCTAAGAATGGGCTTCAGCTGTTTGTAACAGCCTGAGAGAGAGAAGGGAGAGGGGGACAGTGGGAGGGAGAAAAGGAGAGAGAGAGGGAGTGGGGGAGAGGGGGAGAGAGGGAGAGAGGGAGGGGGAGAGGAGAGGGAGAGGAGGAGAGGGCAGTGGGGAGGGGCACAGTGGGGAAGGGGACGGGGAGAGAAGCTCTTTGGCTTTGGTAGGGAATGATGTCAGATCACTGAGATTGAAGAGTATGGTGCAGGATAGAGCCTGGTGCACGATAGGCTGTGTGGTGGGATGTGCTGGCACCTGTGATGCGGTACTGTTTGCTGTCTCTGTGTGAAGTGTCTCTGAAAGCACACGAAGAATGCCCGTCCTGTAGGCACCTGTGGGGAGGGAACAGGTGGCTGGGGGTGGGGCCGGGAGACATTTTACCCTGCGCTTTTATACTTTCTGATTTTTTAATCATGTGAACATAGTATTTTTTCAGAAAAGCAAACAAAATAAATGAAGGGCTTAATATAGTTTTTTTTAAATTTTTTTCCCCTCTATCTTTGTCCTTCTCTGTCGTCCTTATTCCCACGTCCTGTTTCTCCAGTTATCCTGGAGGGTCTCAGGAAGCTACTTCAACAACCTGGACTACTTACTGCAGGAGAAGAGGTGAGCACAGGGCGCGGCCTGCCGTGGGATGCTTGTTTCTGCAGGGTTGGCAGCAGTCCTGGGACTCACTGCAGAGTCTGGTCAGAGGGCGGCAGCCTCCCACCCAGACTCAGCCTGACCTGTGTGCTCTGATCAGTAACAGGCATGGGGGACGGTCGCCAGGGCAGGGGGTGACATCACGAAGGCAGAGAGCCCCCAGACTCCTACCACAAACTGAGCCCTCCTTCTGGGTCCCCTCTCCACTTTGGCTCCATTCTGCCCAACTCCTGCCAGTCCTAGGGTGTCTCCTCCCACTCAAGGGTTACGTGAGAGGGAAATGGAAAAGCAGACCGCTTTGTGGCTTAGGGTTACAGCCTGGCTGTGGCTGGAGGGTCATGCTGGGCAGACGGGACTTCCTAACGTTTCTGTTGCCACCTTCTTCCCCAGCACGCAGGCATGCTTTGCCCATTTTCCCATCCACTCTGAGTTTCACACTTGCCTTCTCCCCGCATATTAGCTTCTAACTAACTCTCTCCCTGTCTGCCCTAAGTGGTTTCCAAAGACAGCGCTGAAGGCAGCAGTCACCTCTGATGAGATTGGAAATCCCTAGGGAGGTACAGGTGGCTGGGGACTGACAGGGGTCGTCTTCATGGGGGCACGCTATTCGATGGCACGTGAGCAGGTTGTTCACACTTCTTAAGTCTTTGTCCTGTCCTGTTGTTGTGTCGTGTTGTTTTTGTTCAGTGCATGTCCATTGTGTTTGCAGAAGTTAAGTGTGGGTGGGGGCAATGCCACTTGGGAACACCCAGCTCTCCTGGTGGAAGGACTGATGCCCTCTCTTTTGACCCTCCTCAGGGTTCCCAGCCCTGTTGGCAGGGAGCTCCTCATGCACTGGGATGAATTATTCTTCAGTCCGTTCCTGCCCCTCTGCCCCGCCATGGAGTCATGTCATCTGCCTCTGCTGTGCAGCCCCTCTGGGCTCCTCCGACCCGGGGACTTGGCGTTGTTTAGCTCCTTCACCTCAGTAGATTTTCTCGCATTAGATTGTACGTTAGGGAAGGGACCATGCCTATAGATTTCCACGGTGCCCAGCATGGTGATGTACATTTAGTAGACGCTTGAAATTATTGGCAGGAAAATGATCAGCTGGGGCCTCCTCGTGCCTGCTTGTCGGTGTGCCTGGCATTGGGAGGGTCCTGCTCTGTGCTGGTCAGCTCGGGCTGCTGTAACAGGATGGCACACACTGGGGCTTAAACAACAGTTATTTCTCCCAGTTCTGGTGGCCGGCAGCCCAGGATTGAGGTTCCGGTCAGTCGGTGCCTGGTGAGGGCTCTCTTTCTTGCTTCTTGCTGTGTCCTCTCACGTGGCAGAGAGAGCACAAGCTCTCCGGTGTCTCTTCTTTCAAGGACGGTAATCCTGTGGGATCAGGGCCCGTCCTATGACCTCATTTTACCTTAATTACTTTTTTTTTTTTTTTTTTTGAGACGGAGTCTCGCTCTGCTGCCCAGGCTGGAGTGCAGTGGCCGGATCTCAGCTCACTGCAAGCTCCACCTCCCGGGTTCACGCCATTCTCCTGCCTCAGCCTCCCTAGTAGCTGGGACTACAGGCGCCCGCCATCTCGCCCGGCTAGTTTTTTGTATTTTTTTAGTAGAGACGGGGTTTCACCGTGTTCGCCAGGATGGTCTTGATCTCCTGACCTCGTGATCCACCCGTCTCGGCCTCCCAAAGTGCTGGGATTACAGGCTTGAGCCACCGCGCCCGGCCCTTAATTACTTTCTTACTCCAAATACATCTACACTGGGGAGAGGGCTTCAACATAGGGATTCTGGGAAGACAGACATTTAGTCCACAGCGTGCTGTGTGCTGCGCCGCACCAGGCTCTGGGTAGTGGAGCTGACGGTGCAGCCTCTGCTTCCCTGGCAATTTAGTGTTATGATCTCATACTCCCCACGCTGTCTCATCGCCACGGAGGAGCCCAGAAGAGGGACACCTAACGTGGAGTCGGAAAAGGCTCCCAGATGTGTCCTTGTCACTGAACCTTGCAGGAAAAGTTTGGTTTGACGGGAGGGGGATGACTGCACATGTAAAGGTGGGTAAGACAGACTGTGCCGGCCAGGACCCACATTCTCAGTGCAGAAGGGTTGGAGGGGCGAGGCAGGAGATGCAGCCGAAATAAGATGTGCAGGGGGCTGGAGCCTGAGGGGCCTTGTTGAACCCAAGGCTGAGTTGTGGGAGAAACTGAAGCAGGCAGAAATATGTTTTCTCTTGTTTAAGAAAGCACAGGCTGCATATGGAGAAGGGATGCAAAGGGCGAGAGAGGTACAGTGATGAGGGCTGAGGGGGCCTGGGATGGGGCTCACAGCCAGGAGGCCCCTGGCAGGAGGGCGATGGGGCTTCTGGTGGGTCTGGTGGCCTGGGTGGTAGACACGGGTCATTGGAGGGGCCCGGTCACATTCAGCTGGAAATCACTCAGTGAGTGGCTGGCTAGCAGGATCTGAGCTCACAACAGGCCTGGGATGGAGAGAAAATGTTAGAGAACTGAGGACCCATGGGCACAGCCAGGATGGGCACCTGGAGGGGCCAGACAGGGACTGGGGAGGCTCCCAGGGCTCTCTCCACAGCCTGGGCGCGAGGACAAGGAAGGCTGCGTTGGTTTGCAGGGCGGGAGGAGGGTGAGGGTGGGGGCTCTGGCTAGGTAACAGGTGTGTGGGGCCTATTGTGGGAGTCAGTGGAAAGAGGAAGTGAGGCACGCAGGGGCTAGTGGTGGAAAACAGAGCCCCAGGAGCCAGGCGGGAAGGGTAAGGAGAGAAAGGGAACGAGTCGGAGCAGAGGACTGCCCTAAGTGGCTGCAGTCAGGCCGTGCAGGTGTCGGGGATGCCGAACAGCCAGGGCACAAGCTCCTTCCTGGTCACGTGGCTGAGGAGCAGCAGGGCTAGCCCTCGGCCTTGGTGTGTTAAAAAACAGAGTGAAGCCGAGTGCTTGCCTGCTGTCCCTTGAGAGGCTGAGGTGGGCAATCGCTTGAGCCCAGTCATTTGAGGCTGTGGTACGCTTTGGTCATGTCTATAAAAAGCCGCTGCACTCTGGCCTAAGCAACACAGTGATGTCTGGTATCAAAAAAAAAAAAAGGGTGCACAAGTAAAGATGCATTGGGAGTTGTGTGGTGAGAACCGTCTCTTTCTGGCCCGCCTGCTCCTCTCTGCTCATCTGGGGAAAGCACAGTCTATGTAACGCAACCCGTCCCCATTGCCTTAAAAATCTGTGTGAGCGGCTTTGCAGGGAGACCAGCCAGGACGGCGCGGCCCTCTGGCCCCGAGGTCTTGCCGTGTTGGTGGGAATCCCTGCAGCCCAGTGACAGGGCTGCACAATGGGGAACAACACTGACCCCCGACTCTGGCCCTCGACTTCCTGTAGGGAACAGGCCCTGGAGCAGGAGCGCGAGAGGCTGCTTCTGCAGGAGTGTCTCAATCTCAACTCCTTGGATCTTGATGAAGATGAAGTGCCACTCACACCTGAGCACAGGTGAGGGACAGGGGACTGGCACCAGCCTCTGAAGGGGAAGGACCAAGGTGCCAGCCCCCCTCTGGTTTTGGACAGAGTTTTGACCAAAATGGTACAGCAATTTGTGTACTATTTGTGAATTCTAAAGCTACCTCCTTTTCTTAAAGCCACATCCATTCATTGATTCGAGAAATGCCTGATCACCTACTGTGCATCAGGGTCTCATTTGAGCCTTTGCCACGCAGGGATCATAAAACACAGCTTGCTGTGCCCCAGTTATCTGCCCAAATTCATGGAACCAGATCTCTTGGGAAAATAACTACACAAAACCACGATCTAAATGAAATCTGCTTTCAAGGGGAGGTTATGACCATGTGAGATTTTTCATCTTCCCCTGACTAGAGAAGAGAAGGTAGCTCTGAGTGGGGGCCCTGATTTAATTGGGCCATTGGCTGGAGGGAGGGCTGGCTTCATCTCTACCTAGGAGCATCAGAGATGCCCAGGACCACAACCGAATCCATCTTCAGGGCACGCTGTTCTCCATCTGTCTTGGTCTGTTGGGGCTGCTAGAACAAAGGCCCATAGACTGGTGGCTTCTGAGCAGCTGAAGTCTGTTTCCCACAGTTGTGGAGGCTGGAGGTCCGAGACCCAGGAGCCAGCAGGGTCAGGCCTGGTGAGAGCGCTCTTCCAGGTTGCAGACTGCCTAAGTCTCTGTCCTCACGTGACAGAAAGAGGCAAGAGAGCTCTCTGGGGCCCTTTCGTAAGGGTGCCGATCCCATTCATGAGGGCTCCACCCTCATGCCTCATCACCTCCCAAAGGCCCCACCTCCTAATACCTTCACCCTGGGGGTGAGGATTCAACACATGTATTTTGGGGAGACACAAACATAAAGCTTGTAACGCCATCCATTCACCCCCTTGTCCATCTGTTCATCCATTCACCCCGCCGACATTTACTGAGTGCCAACCATGTGCCAGGCTCTGCTGTAGCTTCGGGATGTGGCAGGAACAAAACCAGACAGATCTCTGCCTTCCCGCTGCTTGAGCTTTTCCTTCCGGAGACAAGCAGTGAGTGAGATCAGTGAAGCTGTGCCACAAGGCTCCTGAGAAAGGCTAACGCTGGGGGCATAAGGAGTGCTGGGAAGGGTGTGGGCTCTGATGATTTAGGCTCTGATGATGAGGGATGTGCGCCCTGATGATGAAGGGATGTGGGCTCTGATGATGAAGGGATGTGGGCTCTGATGATGAAGGGATGTGGGCTCTGGGAAGGGTGTGGACTGTGATGAGAGCTCAGGGAAGGCCTTGTGAGCAGGTGTTTTAAGTAGCACCTCGAGGAGGTGAGAGCCAGTTCCAGGGACCCTGCCGTGGGAGCGCACCTGGTGTGTGGGAGCCTGGAGGAGGGGGCTGGTGGGGGACAGGAGGTGAGGGAGACCAGGGTTAGGCACTGGCTGTTGGAGCCTTTCCTCTGAGTTAATCGGACACATGTCTGCACAGGACCCTCTGGCTGCTGTGTTGAGGATAGA